AAAAAATTTTAAAAATAAAATATCATAACAGATGGCGCCACACGCAATTTTTATATTTTTAATTATTATAAAATGAAAAAAAAAACCTTAATTTTGAGGGTAGTGATGAGTTTTATAAAAAATGGTAAATGCTAATAACGAGTAAAATCGTCATTAAGTCCTACCGTACTCGAGATATGACACGTGCCCCCTTTATCTCCTCATCCTCTCCACCTTTAACCACCGAAATTTAATAGCGTCAATGCCCCTAATACACAAACCCCCCCTGCAAAATTTCAGAAATTTTCGACAAAAAGCACAAGAGTTATTAAGCTTCGAACGGGGTAAACAAAATCGTGCTCTCCCCCCACACACTAACATCTATACATACAGAATAAACCTCCGAATTTTATTGCATTTCTCTATGTTTCGAGTTCTGAGCCCAAAAATGTAAAAATCTTGAGGGGTCATTTTTTGACCGATCGCTATATTTTCCCTCTGTCATATTATAGAGCCAGAGAAGTAATAATAAAATATAACTGCATTTTATGAAATATTTCACGCGATAAGAAGATTACTAACATCAAAATAGTTCATAAATTATATTTAAAAAAATATCTTTTAAATTTAGAAAAAATCAAATATTTTACCATAGATTACTATTATGAGTGAAGTTATTGCAAGTTACATGCAATTTCACTAGCTATTAAATACATGTTTAGTGGGCAAAATATTGTTTCTAATGAATATGTTAAATATTAATTTCGGTTTAAAAATAGAGAAATATTCAGTTAAAAACTTTAATTTATCGAAGGAAATAAGCTTCTATAAAAGTATTTAGATACGTTTACATTATCAATTTTATATTAACTTATAATTTTCTTTTTCGTTGTTCAAGTTTAGTAAAGATGATGTATATAAAAATTTAACTAAATACGTTTTGTCTGTACAATTAAAATATAAAAGAAAACCTAAACAAATCATATAACCATCAACTTCAATACAAGGATAAACTGAAACACGACTAATTTCAATAAATACCTCATAAAATCAGAGATCCAGTTTTAATTTACAGACTGATAACATATATTGGCACAGCTTCATAGTGTGCTGTTCTAAAACTAGAGCATTGAACGGATCGATAAGGAAATGGTTTTGATTACGCTTACCTCCATCCAATGAACATGGCTTCACCGGGAAATCAATATAATCTTGCGTAAAACCTACATTAAACGCCATTTTGTTTAAAAAAGTACATACATAACAGAAGGTACGCTAATTTTATTCAGAATATTTCAAAATAACGTGATATTTTCTTCTGTTTGGAAAATAATTAGTGCTAATAATTCGGAAATATACATCGAAATAATTTTTATAAGATATTCACGTTCGTATTTCACAATTTTCTTTATAAAAATACTATAAAAGATCAATTTATATTTTTATAATCAGTTATTTTTAATTTCCTTATGAAATAATGTTTATATCATTTGTTACTTCAGCCCTCTAACGGAAATAAGAAGAACTACGTTACGAAGATTCTATCCGAAATAAGAATTAAATATAATTTAAAAAAAATTATTTTAATAAAATATTTTAAGTCACATTAAGCTTAATTAACTATCAAACATAGTAGTGTACACTCAATATTCTTTATATAGAAATAGTAGAGTAAATAAATGCTGTATTACATAAAAAGCAGTGGACCCCGTCCACCATTAATCAAGGTCAAAATCCAAGATGGCCGTTAACTGAGGTTACCGCTCGTGTAGTAAAGTGCAATTATAAGAAAATTACTAAATATTTTATTTATTCCTGCAGATTCAGAAGTCTTTTTTCCATTGTTCGTTACCGAGTCTGCTAGCATAATAAGTACAAATATATTTGACATATTGAATATTAGTCTATGTTTTACTTTTAAAAAATATATCTACATGCCAACTTGTTTGGTTTCTTAAGGTTATAAAGGATCGATAAGACAGCAGTTTATTTTTTTAAAGTTTTTTATTAACCGTGTATTGCATAACGACTGCAACTCCTCACGCACTGCATTGCCAAGAGGCTTTAACACAAAATTTTATAATTATTATTCTTTTTCCTTTAACATATCCTCCTAATTATAAAATTTTTGAATAGTATTTTTTATTTTACTTGTACAAACATGATTTTGCTTTAAACCATTTAACAGGACAAACTTACGAATTATAAATCTTTATTAAATAAGAGGTAAATATTATTTTGTAGTATTTATGATATTTTCTGAAGACCGAGAATTCTGTTTAATTAAACAAATTTGTTGAGTCGAACCTATCAATCCTATTATATACACGGCTGGATGGTCGAGCGGTTATGATGGTAGCTCAACACTCTGGGGCCCAGGACAAGTCGAAAAAATTTAAGACTTTTTTATGGTCCAAGTCCGGATATGTTATCTTTGATCTTCACCATCCGGCCGCTCCATTATGGGCTTGCTAAAAAGGCCTTAGTATTCACGATCCAGAAAAAGTTTTTAAAACCTATAGCATAATAAATTTTAAAGAACTATGGATTATTATAATGAATTATGTAATATAGGCACAAACGTATTAAAATAAAACCTCGCTAATTCGAACTGCGTTAACTCGAAACTGTCAATAAGTCCTGGGCACAGTATACAGGGTTTTCCATACAATATGATCTTGTTAAGTCGAAATTGTCGACCTGGAACCTTTGATAAGTCCTTGAACTTCATTTTTTTCTTTTAAATTGTCTATATTTATATGGAACATAATAAACAAACACTATCAGCCGATTGTAGAGACAGAGTTTACGTTAAAAGACGTTTATTAACAGAACGGCCTATAGACGTTGGCTGGCTGAACCGCAGTTTAAAATGCGTTGCAAAGACGACGATCGTCTATTTCTGAACGCCCTCTAAACGAACTTCGGCAAAACATTGACTCTTACTTTCTTCGCTATTACTCCCCTGTTTTAGGAGTCATTCGGCCAATCGGGTTATTCGTTTGTGATGTCAGAAAAGGTCGCTAGCTATATTCTGAAATCTTCTGGAAATAAAATCTTAAGGCCATCAACAACCATTGTTCGGCAATTAATGACAATCCTTTTCCATTTCGATATTTAATTTCGTCGCCAATACGGTTTAAAATACGAACAAATCTATATTTAGAAAATAGCCTATATATCGAATTCGAAATTCGCTTCAGAATAGATTTTTAAGAAATTATTTCGACATTGTATTACTGTCTCCCTTCGTAACTGTCGAAATGAATAATTTTAAATATTTTATTATTACTATTACGTTTTTTTATTAGCGATGTAACGAATATTCGGTTACTATTCGGTATTCGGCCTATTCGGCTTATTTTTCGCTATTCGGCCGAATACCGAATACCTAAAAACAGAAGTAAGAAATAACAAAAACACAGTAAATTCATCATTTTGGTATTTAGATTTAATGTTATCGGGTTAGCGTTGTTTGTTTATATTTATTTATAACTTATAACACGCACAAAATAAAAAAGAAAATAATATTAGTCACATGTATTCACAATTTATAATTACAAAGATCAGCACACGTACACACCTATTCGTTCGAGAATCGTCGCACATCTGAGGATCTGACCCTGCCTATCCTTCTTTACGCTTCTAGCGCTCGTTTTTGCTCTTCCCTTTCTCTTTCCTCTATCGCTCTAGTTTACGTATGCCTATGCATACATCGTAATACGTGCTCACGATACTTTCGATTCGTCACTTTTCCGTCGTAGATTTCCCATTTTACAATTAGGGGAGATCGGGGCAAGATCGGCATGTTAAGCTTTACTTAAATTTTGTGTAATAAATACTGCTGTAAATTGAAAAAAAAGTTTTGCATATTGTCTATTGGAATGTTACCTTACTATAGAACTGGTTAAAATCAGTTTGAAAATAAAAATAATTAAAATAATTACAACTTTACAAGAAGAGAGAAATTGACGAAGTTGCCCCGGGTATAGGGGCAAGATCGGCAACTTCTCTCTTTTTGTAAAGTTGTAATTATTTTAATTATTTTTATTAAAGTTGCCCCTGGTATAGGGGCAACAGTAATGGGGCAAGATAGGCACGTATATAAAATTATGTTATTAACAATGTATAAGTTGGAATTCACTATTAAAACAAAGAAATACAAATCCAACACCCATTTAATATTATTACAACGAAATGCAAGTTCAAAGACATATATACATGAATAACAAATGCAAACATGTTTTCATTTATCATCTGTTTGATTTTTATCCTTTGCTTCTAATGTGGCTTTATGTTGCCGATCTTACCCCGCTAGTCATGATTTCGAAACATTAAGTACAACCCTGAGAACAGAATGCCAAGCCACGATCTGGCCACGTGAATAAGTTGAAGTTACATCCTTCTAACAGGAAAAGTAACTTTCGTTATCATGGAATTATAACAAAACCTGCCAATTCAATATAAATGGAAAAAAAATATTATATGGAATTGAACGAAAATGAAAATTTGCTTGATAATTCAACTACGCTTGTTGGAGAACAATAAAAACACTACACTCAACAAGCCACCAATAAAACTCAACTGCCTAACCTATAACCAAAGTCTCCTTTTAATTTGTTTTTAAAAAAAAAGCGCTTGACAAACTTGCCCCGCATGCCGAAGTTGCCCCGGTCTCCCCTACGTGACTCATAGCCTGGTGATAACGGTGACTCATAGCCTGGAGAAAAGAGACAGATAGGACGTCGGAATAAGTCACAGTTATGATTTCACAAATTCGAGACAGCTTGGTAGCTCGAACGGCCCCAGGCTTTCGCCCGTGCACGCTAAGTGACTTTCATTACAGGCATTTAGCTTTCTAAAGTCTATGACAACAATTGTTTGGCATTGATGGCCGCGAAGTTCGCGCCAATAAGCTGCCTCGACTTGTTCGATTACGTTATCAACTCAATTTCGTACTTATTTTCACATTTTCACTTCGCGGTCCTTCTCTGTTCTTTTTCCGTTATTTACACGTGTAGGTCATTTCATTGTTATCCACATTTGATATCATCATTTATCACATACTGCCATGACGCTCTTGTCTGTCCGCTACAACTGTCAAGAATTAATGCGATTGGCGAAGCATAGTGACAGCGGGCCAATAGAGAGCATTGTCCTCGCCATAATGCGGTTTGCGCGCCAATTTTCGTACGTGCGTTCATCAAGCCGAATAGTTTGGCCGAATATTCGGCTATTCGGCCACACTCCTGGCCGAATATACTATTCATTGCAACACTATTTTTTATATTTCTATAAAAAGATTTCGGTAATTATTAAAATTGCCTCGTTTGTTTAACAGAACGTTCTAACTAAGGTATTAACTACAATGATCCCCGAAATGCATTAACGTTTTATAATCGACACGATACTCGAATTGTAAATAATGCATCTGATTTAAATTAATTGTAGTTTTAAGTCTTCACTCATTTGAATATTGGAATTGGAACATTTAAAACAAATTTAAAGTATTTAATATTGTTAATTTTTTTTCCAAGCAATTAATTAATGAATAATTTTGTCGATTCGTACCGTTTACAACATTTATCAAAGGAACGATATCCATTTTTATCTATTTTCCACGAACAAAGCTACCACTCGAATTAAAAAGCCCTCTAAACTTGCTGTCGAGTGAGTCTAGAAAGTAGGTCAAATAACTTGTTTCTAATCGCTGTCTATATTGTTGCAAGCGAGAAACGCCTTCTCTGCAATGAAATTTTTCTGAACAGCGGTCTACCCGATCTGTAAACCCCGTCGGCCTCTAAATGTTGTCTCTACAATAAGCTGTGGGGGTTCGGTCGTGGGTGCGCGCCTCGCTCGGACAGACTGGCAACATGGAGTTTTCCGAGTTTTCTCCATGTCTGTAACGCGTAAATAGGGGCCTGTTTTCCTTAAAAAGACCTCCCGGAAGGCATCCTCCTAAGCTAGATCGCCCAAGTCCATAACTAAACAAACAAATACAAGTGGATTAAGCCAAAAGCAGCCCGATAATATCGACCGCCATACGATAACCCTAATAAACAGGGCACGGACAAATACCTTACTCACCACCAATTCCTATCCAAACGTCCTCTCAGCAATACGAATAAATGTATGCACTGCCCTACCAAAATTCACGACTCCGTCC